AAGTTTCACACTTCCAGCCTAAGAACTATTCTAACTTACAATGTATTTTATTGGTCTTCTATTGTGCTAAGAATTTTTAAAATTTAATTTTAAATTAAATGAAAAATTAGTAGGTTTCCTAGAAAGTACAGATTCCAGTGGCTCTAGGGAGACGCTAGTTTCACCGCAGTACCCAGCGCATCATGCTGTGTCAGTCACCCAGCTGGACTCACTGCGTTACCTGCCTGGTCCTGGTGGGCATCTGGACTTGAGACTCCTGCGAAATGCTATGGCCTTTCTGTGGAAATTCAAGTTACAAAGGTTTTCCCTGAGGAACAGAGAATGAGGTGAGTGAGGGCTGGTAAGATTCTTTCCTAGGCATGTGGTGCCAGGGATGGGCAGAGCCAGTCCACAGGCAGGGTTCCTCCCAGGGGATGCTCTGGGAAAGGCCCAAGCCTGGTCCCAGCTCTCCACCTTCACATGGGGTTCAGGGAAACCCTCCCAGATCCAAGCCTGCTGGGGGAAGACAGATGGAGCCATAAATCACGTTAGCCTAGGGTAGATGTGCAAGAAGCCATTTCTGTATTTCTGTCTGTTGCTGAGCTTGCCTGCCACATCGTCAATCAGGAGAACAAATGGCTAGCAACCCTTTTCTTTTATGAACCCATATCCATTATCCTGTCATGTCTTCCCCACCAGGTGAGTGCAGCGGCTAGCTGGGACCATTACAGAGCCTTTTACTCATCCTAAGCCCTTGAGGTACTACAAGGCGGCAGGACAGATTCAAACTGCCAGGGTGTGAAGTGTGGCCCCTGCCTTCCCCACGCCCCCATTCTCTGATCTGTAAAATATGGCTAATAATAGTTCCTACCTTGTAGGGTTACTAGGATGATTATCAACAAGAGGAGCAAATTCCTTAGCATTGCACTTTGTACACAGTAAATGCTCAATAAATGCTAACAGCTATGATTCATGCCACCGTCACCTTCATGTTCTACTGGGGGAAAGTAGCTGAGGGCACCACCATCAAACCAAGTAAGCCAACTAACAAGATCATTTCAGATGGCTTTAACAGCTATGAAGAAAATAAGAGGAGTAACGAGTGACTAGGATTCTTACAGACCTCTTTGGGAGGTAACACATGCTGAGGCTTCTTAACCTCGCTACTGCTGTTACTTCAGGCTCGACTGTTCTTTTTTGTGGGGGCCATCCTGGGCTGTAGGATGTTCAGCAGGGTCCCTGGTCTCTACCCGCTATATGCCTGCCACCCTCTACCCCACTAGTGATGACCCAAAACGTCTCCAGACATTGCCAAACGTCCTCCAGGAGGCAAGAATGGGCCCTGCTCTGAGAATCACGGATGGAAAGGATGAAGGGAGAGGAGCATGCTGGTGGCAGAACAGGGGAGGGGGAGTTTGAACCCAAAAGGCACGAGGAAGTGGAACCTTGACCCCAACGCTAATCCAAGCATTTACGATGTTAAACCTAAAGGAAAGCAGGTTCTCCTTGGAAAATGGATCTGCATGTCCCAAGCCTCCACACGGCTTGGCAAAAGAAATGCTGCACAGAACAAAGAACTAATAAGCATGGAACAAGGCCTACGTCTAGAACTCAGGCGGCTCAGAAATTCAGACAGGCATGCGGTTTCCTTACTCTGTCTTTTGGGCCAGAAACCAGGCCCTGTGTGAAGTCCTCCGCTGGAATGTCAGAGAAAACATGCATCTGAGTCACCTGGAAGCCAGCTAGAAATGCAGATCTCCAGGCCCCACTCCTCTCGGAGAATGCCCCACACCATTGTGCAGGTTGCTCAGGTTTGAAAATCTCTGGAATGAACCAGAGGTCAGCCCCAGAAGGGCCTTTAAGGCATCTCTGGGCTTTTTCAAGCTTTCCGAACTACTGCCCAGCATGGGCACGAATCAAATCCAACACGGACGGCCCATGTGTGGGAGAAGTACAAGAGAATCCCTTGGGGCGAAGGCGGGCAGGAGCCCAGGACCTCTGTGGCTCAGTCCCCTTCTTGAGCTCAAAACCACACTACTCAACCATCTCTAAGTAACAGGTGGAGAAACTGAGGCCTGAAGACACAGGGATAGTGAAGTGGGTGCTTTTGGTAAAGCCATGACTTGCCTTATCGTCGAATCCCCAAAACCTAGAGCCTCCTCCCTCGCCTGGCCTGCACACAGCAGGTAGGGAGTCCTATCCCCAGCCCTGCCCTGCCCTGTCAACACGCATGGTTCCCAAACAGCTCCCGGGGCTGGACTTCAGCCTCATGCCCTGAACGTGTATCTCGTCACACCTCCCGTCCTCACCGAAGGCATCCGTGCTTTGAGAGAACCACTCAGCGCCACACTGACACGTGTCCCCAGAAAGGTTGACAGCAAATTCCATCATCGATTCTATGGTACACAAATTTTTACTTTTTAACCCTCCTTATAGAAGAGTGCAGTGTTTCATCAGCAGTATCTTAAACACAGTGCCCTGGTCTAGTTGGCAGGTTTTCCTTTAATTCTTCTTACTGGCACATAAGACAATGGTGCATCCTGAAGGGGACTTCATGTTTGGTTCCAATGTGCATTACTTCGCTTAATCCTCAGGAGAACCCTCCGAGGTGAGTGTTATCACCCCCACTTCAAAAGGTGAGAAGATGGAGGCTCAGGGCTGTGGAGGCAGCTGCCTCCCGACAGCCAGTAAGTGGCTGTGGTGAGTCATACGTGGTCGCCTGGGCAGGCTGCGGTGTGCGGCCGTTTAGTCAAACCCCAGTCCAGGTGTCGCTGGGAAGGCACCTGACTGAGACACTTCTGATCAGTAAGCCTTAAGTACGGGAGACTACTCTCCGTGTGTGTGCGTGGCGGGTGTGTGTGTGCTCATGCTGTCAGGTGAGGGCTGTAGAGAAAAACAGGTCCCCTGGAGAAGGAGTTCTCCCCAGAGACTGTTGCAGAAGTCTTGAGTTTCTGGCTTGTCCCACACATTTTGGACCCCAGCCTCCTGGCCTTCCCTCCACAGTTCCTGACCTGTCAGCCCTAGCTGGGTGAGCCAATTCCTTACAACGCATCTCTCTGGCTACATATATCAACAGGTTCCGTTTCTGTGGAGAGAGAACCGTGACCAGTACTGGTAGAGCTGGGGTGTCCAACCTTAACTTCCGCCGTGGGTGTCCCCAGGGAGGCCCAGCTCCAACTCGGGGGGCAGCACCCAGCTCCACGGCGGCCAGTCTCATGTTGCCCACACCTACCCGACCCACCCGACCCCCCCATCAACCTCCCAGCAGGAGGGAAGACACCCCTGGGGGCTGGCGGAGAGGACAAGGGAAGAGAACAGAGACCAAGAGCAGGTAACATGTTTATTGCAGGACGCCTTCTTCTGCTGCTGGGCTGGCTGGGAGCTCTACTGGGGGGCCCCTCACAAGCCCCAGTCCCAGAACAGATGGACATATTAACTTGGAATCCAAACCAGTTTCATATAAATAGAAGGAGGTTGGCAAACGAAAAAGAGAAAAGCAACAAACAAACGTGTAGTTATCCTACACTCGAGTGACAAAGGGGCAGCAGCGCCCTTATCCCCGTCACCTCTTCTTACTCCGCTTCTACGCGGAAGCTTCCACTCGCTCTGGAAATCACCTTCGGATCCAACTCAGCAGCACATAGCTGCCTCCCTGGCAGGCCCTGAGCCAGTCTCCTGGACTGGCTCATAAGCCAAGAAAACCGAGATGGGTTCTTCTTCAAACAAACAAACAAACAAAAACTGCTTCTGTGGTTCTTTGCACCTCCCAGTTCTGATGGGTGAACACCATATCCCCCTGACCCCAAACCAACCAAAAAAACAAAAACAAAAACAAAAAACCACAAACAAACAAAACAATGAGCACAAGCCATGAGTCAGAATAGAAACATATTGCACATGGTTACAGGAGTCTTCCTGAGAGCCCAATTGCGGCGGGGACCCAAATACTGGCTTTCGATCCAACCAATCGTTGCCTGTCAGTGGTTGTGACATATACCCATGCACGAGCCCACTCCCCAAGTCTGCTGGCATGAAGCAAATATTCCACATTTTTAGCCTTCCCTATTAGCCAAACTCAAAGCCATGGCTGGGTTTAACCTCGTGCACCATTAAGCCCATGGTAGAGGGAGGTGGGGGTTGTTAGTGGTAAACCCTTGTCTACCCTTCAATCACTTTTTCCTCTGGGTGGTTGTTGAAGTTCTACAGGTGAACACAGCATCCAAGATGTGGAATCTTCCAGAAGTGAGAGCCTGGAAACTGGCTTTCCCCAACCACATGCTTCTGAAAACGCATTTTCTGCTGTTACAAGCTGGGTTCGAACCTACAGCTTGCGTGCGACAGGCAATGTGGCAATCCACCTTTTTCTTCTCCTAAGGAATTTTCAAGTATCATAAAATCCCTGATACAGTATGTAAACAAGATACCTTACCGAACAGAAAGCTAGGTCACTTCGGGAAGCAGCACCGGGTGAAATATCTAAAAAGCCAAATAAGGTTTTAGATTTGACAACAAAAGCAAGACAGCCACCCACCGTGCCTTAGAAGGCAGACGCTCAGGCAAAAACACACGCAGGCTCCTCTGTACGGAGCCAGGGAAAGAGCACCGAATTCGGCATCTGCTGGGGGTCCTGAGAACACGTCAGGCAGTCCCTCCTTGTTCAGTGTCACCGACGCTGGCAAGGAATAAAGTCTTTGATGCCAGACACCAGACATGCTCGCGGACTGACCGGTGTCCAGTCTCCTGGCCTCTCACCAGGTCTTTCTCACTCCACTGGGTCCCTCCTCCGGACGACTGTGGCCGAGCCGACCCCCTGCACCCCAGCTGCACATGTGGAAGACGTTTTTCAGAGGAATTCTCTCGGAGGAGGGATGACATGGACTATTTTGCTCTTTTGTTGGCTTTCATTAAAAAGAACATGAACCCTCTGTGTTCAAAGTCAGCAAAGCTCTGTGGGGACGGCTTCCCAGTTGCCTCACTCAGCTGAGCTCCCCTGAACTGTGTCCTCTTCCCCTGCCCAGGTGAGTTTCCAAGGCCTCCCTGTGTGGCCCGAAGGTGCCCTATCTGTCGAAACAGCCTGTGGGGAACGCGTGGCTTCCACTGAAGTAGCTGCTTCCGTAGCTGGTGGCGAGGCAGTGCCTGGGCTCGGCTGTGATGGCCATCTGCACGCTGAGGGGCGCTGGGAGGGACACGGGGCACACATCCAGGGGCTGGAGGGTGGGGTACAGGGTGTGGAGGGATGAGCCAGAGCCCCCAGAGAGCAGACTCCCGGAGCGGTGGGCCTGCAGTGAGTCCCGATAGGCCAAGCAGAGGTCCTGCACAGGGGTCTGGAACGAGGCCAGGCCTGGTGTCGCCGGCTGGCTGAGGGTGGGGTAGGCGGGCGGCTGGAACAGCACTTGGGTGGGGGCGGGGGTTGTGCTGGGCACCACTGCCAAGGCCTGGCTCTTGACTGCGACAGCGTCCTTGAAGACGTTGTCATAGGCTCTGAAAGGAGAGGACCTGGGTGAGACCTGAGGTCAAAGGCCATAGCAGCAGACCCCTGAGTGAGCCCCTAAGTGGAATTCGAGATCTGTGTGCTGTGACCCCACGGCCGCGCCCAGCCCATGCTCAATGCCCACAGCGCTGTCCCTGCTCTTCTCTGACTAAACTCAGACCTCAGCCCAAGCCTGGATCTGCTTCCTGCGGAAACCCCTTCTGGCCCCTGGAGACTAGCCTCACTGTCCTCTAAGCCAGTACACTGGCCCATCTCAGCGGTCAACCCCCCAGATGATAAATTCCGGGTTACCATCCGGCCCCTGCCGAGCGCAAGCTCCAGGAGGGACGGCCTGGCAGCTGATGAGAACAACCTCTGCCTTCGGGGCACCCCCAAACCGATCTCAAGCCAGCCACCCTTGGGGCCCAAGTTTCACCTTCTGAAAAGGGGATCAACAGGTTTATTTCCATCTTTAAAAAAAAGCTTCCCATAAAGCTTCTTGAAATAACAATTCCATTAATCTAGCATAGACTCAGGTTAAGACTGGAGCACAGGGAGGCCTCGGATCTGAGAAGCTGGGCATCCCAGAAGCCACCACCACGGTGAAGAGGCAGGGCTAGTGGCTGCGAATCTGGGGACACCTATCTGCATTCAGACCAGACCATATGCTCTGGCTCTGAGCACGTTCGACAGATTTTAAAACAAGGTCCAGGGAGCAGGGTGGACGGTTTGGAACAACGACACAAAGGCAGCCAGCTACCAGCAAAGCTTCCTTCACCAGGAGGCTGGGAGGCAGCTCTGGGTGGGGGAGGGGGCCTGGCCCCTTTGTGAGTGGGGCCAGCATCTAGCAGATGCTGCCACCTGTTGGGCGAAAGAGGAATGGGGTGCAGTTCTGGGGACTTCTCAGTTCTGTCTCCTCCCTGCGGTCACCACTGAACGCTTCCTCCTTCAATACCAGTTTCATAGTGATGGTTCTATGCTGCCTTTAGACACCTTCTCTGATACACTCAGTATGTCCTTCCCAGTATTCCCACTGAGGCCTCTTATGTTAAGCCCCTCTGAGCTTAGCTGGCTAAGAGGTCAGCTTTGTGGCCACGTCTAAGGAAAGTAGCTTATCACGAGTGTAATGACTCAGTGTAACCGTCCATAAGGCTGACTGATGCACCGGGGCTCAGAGCACACAGCCCAGACACTCAGAAGGGTATGCACACAGCTTCTCTTCTCCCCCACCCCTTGATCTTAACATTGCAAACCCAGAGCTACCCGAAACAGGAAGGTTCACCTCTGCAAACCTCAATTCTATCAGGAGTCACCATGGCTCACTTTATGGGAAACACTGCCTAGGGGAGCCACCACAACCCTCTGACTTCGAGAAACTGTGTAAGGTGGGTCTTGAGAGCAAGTGCCTGGATGTTCCGGAAACACGGAAAGATCGGGGGCGGAACTTACACCAGGAGGATTTCAATGCACGTGCTGAGATGTTCTAGGGTGTAATTTGAGATCTTCTGTAGGTCTCTGGTCCAGTAGGGAGAAAGCTGAAGGCAGATCCTGGCGGCCCCAACGCAGGCCGCAGCAACCACAGAGGGTGGGAATTTGTAGAAAATATGATCTGAAAGAGAATCACGGCGGTCAGCACCACAGAGCCTCGCTCTGGGCTCCCAGGGCCTCTCTGCCTCGGGCCTCCCAAGAACTGGTAGACAAGTGATTCAATTCAAGCCTGTTCACGGCTGCCACATGCATCCAGGATGAAAAACTGGACACAGTGTGGAGTTCTACTCCTGAATCTTAAACACCTTAGCTCTCAGTCTGGGATTCCTGGTGTCAGCCTAGAGGAATCCTTTTCAAAATCTCGTCCAGAGCTTCCAGGGGCTGCCAGGGGCTCGCTGACGGGCTACGGAGAGCACCACAAACCATAGGACTGACACAGCACGGCAAAGGCTCCTGTTTGGGGGGTGACTACAGGCTGCTTGCTAAAAGGAACAAAGCCTGGCCTACAGCAGGCACTCAGTAAAAATCTGCTGAATGAGTGAACAGCCATAAGCATCTGATACTCAGAACTAAAACTAGCACCTGACTTCCGTTTACTGAGGAACCTTCTCCCACCCTCAGCTCGACTGACCTATGACTGGCCAATCAAAACTACACATATTTAAGGAATACATGAGCTGCTTTGGTACACGGATACTGTGTGAAATGAATCTTAGTGTCCTACTAACATGTCTGGCACCATGGGGAAGCCAGCCCTTCTCATGTGCAAAGGCCAACTCCTCAGATGCCCAGGATTTTCACGAAGGACACTGGGGATGAAAGTGTCCTCGTTCTTACGCTGCTTATCATTTCTGATGACTTTGGCGTCGGCCTGTTAAAGTCAGAGTCAAGCAGGTGGCATTATGGTGACAGGAGCCGGCACAGAGCCAGACTCCTCCTCAAATCTTAGCAATGACCTTGGGTAAGTTACTTCACCTCTTGAGCACCCGTGGAGGAAACAGATTTGTAAAACAAGAATAACAGTGATTTTCATGTGGGGTCACTGGGAAATTACAATGACATCATATAACCCAAAGCACTAAAATAAGTGGCCTGGTTCACAGTATATCCTCCATTAATGCTCGATATCCTAATTGTTGATCTTGTTACTCGGAACCATTTTGGTTTGGGGTGGGTTATTGGGGGTGGTTTTATCAACAGTATTTCTGACCTGGCATTTTAAGATACCAAGATACTTGGATTTTAAGACAGTGGGACGAGTGGAATTCAAATAATGTCCCCAAACAGGGTAACTTTATTGCTAAACATTATTACTAAAACTAACCCCTCCCCCACCCTACCTGTACAATGACAACTCTTCTGGAATGACCTAAGACCTAATGATCATAAGAAAAATTAGCAGGTGATCAGTACGTCAGTAGGGTGCCAGCCACCAGTATCCAAGCTGCTATTTGTCGTTACACAGTATCAGTAATGCTGGAAGACTCGCTGCCCCTTCCTTGTGGACCCCTGTGAGGTAGGAGTGCTCTGGGTGGATGGGCTCCGCTCAGTAAGGACTCCGTGGGTAGACATGCCTCTGTGTGGTTGGGGAAGGGGAAGAGGTCCCGCCGTCGGGCCTCACCTTGCAGGGTGACCTCTAGGAAGTAGTGGGCGTACTCCTTGAGGCACTCTTTGGTCTTGTGGGGGCAGGTGGCAGGCCAGCTGTGGCAGTGGTGATCCTTCTGGCTGACGGAGGCCAGGAGGTAGTAGTCCAGAAAATGGGCAGGCGTGGGCAGGCAGAGGTTCCAACTGAAGGCCTCCAGGAGCAGCAGCTCCGTGTTGAGCAGCTCCTTCTTGGTGAGGGTGAAGTTCTGGCCGCTCAGGACCCTCGTACTGTTTATCTGCTCCAGCTTGGGGACGTGGTCTTCCCTGTCCTCAAACTTACCTGCGAGAGAAGCAGAGGTTACTGGAAGACGGCACTTGCCTGCCCCAAGAGGTAAAGACCCACCTTCAAGTGCCTGGACGGTGCGGGCAGGGAGGACAGAAAGCCACCCACTGCCAAGGGACCAAGAGCACAGGTTCTGGATCTGACACACTAGGGCTTGGCTCCCCAAACCATCACTTCCAGCTGCGTGATTGTGCCCAGGTGTCTCACCCTTTCCGTGCCTCAGCTGCCTCCTCTGTAAAATGGAAACTAAACCTCACAAAGCTTGTCAGGGACAATGAGGATGTGCATACCACATGTTCAGGCCAGCATGTGGAACACAGGAGGTGCTCAGTGGCTGTTAGCAACAGTAGCGACGGCCTGGGAAGTAAGGGAGCCCTCTCTCAAATCCCGTCTGGCCCTCACTAGTTCAATCTCAGGACTGGTCAGGGGTCAGACAGCCAGAGTCAGAATGACCTTACAAATCTGACCCTGTCCCCTCACCATGTAGAAAAGCCCAACAATGGCTCCCCATCCCCTCAGCACTGGGTTTAAGCCCTGTCAACAGGTTTTTAGCTTGGATTCCCTCAGAAACAGTTTGCTTGGGAGGTGAGCCTAGGAAAGACGAGTAGGTGGGGAATGTGGGAGAAGACAAGAAAGGGAGGAAAAGCAAAAAGGGAACATTATCTTGAAGTTATCCGTACCCCAACCTTCACTGCAGCATTGACTACAATAGCCATGACAGGGAAATGACCCAAGTGTCCACTGACAGATGAGCAGATAAAGACAACTTGGTCTTTATATACAATAGAATAATATTCAGCCTTACGAAGAAGGAAATCCTGCCATTTGCAACAACACGGATAAGCCTTGAGGGTATTATGCTAAGTGAAAGAAACCAGGAAGAGAAAGACAAATAATGTATGATCTCACTTACATGTGGAATCTCAAACAGCTAGACCATAAACACAAAGAAGAGACTGGTGATTACCAGAGGCAGGGGTGGGGGAAACTTGTGAAGGTGGTCAAAAGGCAAAAACTTCCAGGGGCGCCTGGGTGGCTCAGTCAGGTAAGCCTCTGCCTTCAGTTCAGATCATGATCTCAGGGTCCTGGGATAGAGCCCCGCATCAGGCTCCCTGCTCGGTGGGAAGCCTGCTTCCCCCTCTCCCTCTGCTGCTCCCCTGGCTTGCGCTCTCTCCCGCATGTTCTCTCTCTCAAATTAAGTAAAACCTTTTTAAAAAAAATTCTCATACTAGAAAAAAAACTGTATGTGAGGTGACAGATGTTAACTAAACTTACTGCGGGGATCACTGCACAATACATACATAGATCAACTGGTTTTTACACACGTGAAACTAATACAATGATGTGCTCCCTTCAGCAGCACATATACTAAACTAATACAACGTTAAATGTCAATTATATCTTAGAGAAAATGGGTGTGGGTGTGACATTACAGACTTCCGCCTTCCTCCCTTGGAGTGCCATGCTGGGAGTGCCGCATGAGGAAGCGGGTCTGGCCTGCTGGAGGTGGAGAGGCCACAAGGAGAACAGAGGTACCCAGGCAACAGCCAGTACCACCTCTCAGACACACGAGTGAGACCTTCCAGCCGCGTCCCTCCGGGGCTGGATGAATGAGCGCAGATGAAACTGGCAGAGGAAACGCCACGCAACCCACATCACTGTTGTTTAGATCGCCGAGTGTGGGCACGATCTGTTTGGCAGGAACAGAGAACTGTGATATATTCCTATCAATGGCAGCGACAAAAAGATGTGAAACCCCACAAACAGGCACGTCACACAGCTCAGAAGGTACTGAAGGAACCGAAGGAACCATGAATAAATACCGGAAGGTCCTGGAAATAAATGGCATGAAACAGAGCTGCATGGGGCTAGACACAAACACACATTAAACACGAGCCTCAGTGATCCCATTCCAGGGTCAAGGGAACTGAGGTATTTACACAGCAATCCTGGCACTCAGCAGGGGCAGGGAGCTCCAGGGGCGGCCTGCACGGTGGGAGGCTCTGCAGGTGGGGCCGCCACGGGCCTTAACCCACCCGGCCATGCGGAAACCACGCACACCTGGCTGTGGCTCCATCCGTGCCATTCTCTGAAGCACCACCCCAACCCCGGTTGCCCACCAGCCTTCATCTACACAGCCCCCTGCCTGGGGAACTCTTTCTCTTCCCCTCTTCGCTCTGCCAACTTCTCTCCCTGTCCTTCACCCACATCCCTGCCCCTTGGAGGCCTTCCCCGACCACAGTCCCCGTCCCACCTGACCCCCACAACACAGTGACTCCTGAGCCTGGCCTCAGTGTGGTCGCCTGTGGCCTCTGAGCCCAAGCTGACTGGGGACAGAACACCGCTGAGTGAGTGTGAGGAGAGACAGGGCAGCTTGCTGAGCTCAGAAAGCACGCGTCTGTCTGCACCGATTAAAAGCGCGACAAACCATCTACACACCTGTGCACCACAGTGAGCTCCTCGTGACCCAGTTCCCATCAGACTTCCACCCTTCTCAGGAGAGAGAAGGGAGTAATCACTTCAGGCTGCCTTACAGCGGATATAATGCATATCTCAGGCAGGCCTCAAAAAATGTCCCTGAGAAATGAAACATGGCCTCTGGGAAGCCAGCATCTCTGTCTTCTCAGCGAGCCGTACGGAGGCCACTACACAGACAAAGACGTTATGACACAAAGCCTGGTTTCTGCCGGGCAGGAGACAAGCTGGCAGAAATGTACAGAAGAGCGAGGAGTGGAGACTGACGGCTGAGCGGCCCCTCCACAGCTGACCGCAAGCCCAGACCTTCTCCTTCTGGAGCTCTACCGTCAGGACCCAAGCCTGGTGGGATGCCACCTTCAGGGCGCACACCTTCCCATGTCCTGCATGCAAGGGCAACTCAAGCAGGAACAGCAAGGTCAACGCTGCCCAAGGGGCAAGAGCCTCTTGTATGGCTGGAAATCCTGGGGTGGGGCCTGGCTGACGAGGCCTTGCCAGCCCCCTACACCCTCCCTAAGCAGGGGACCCTTCCTCCAGCTGGGAGTACTCACCCCTCACTCACCCTATCATGCGTTCTCTGGTACCCAGTTCTGAGGCCACCGGATGTCATCAAGGCACTTCTCATGCTCAGACTACTTAATATCAACTATTAATATTAATGACTAGCACCTGACCAATAGGTCATTAATAGGTCGAAGCCTGTGAGGACAAGAACCACGTGTGACCCGTCTGCAGCTATGCCCCCAGGTCCCAGCACACTGCCTGGTACGTAGTAACTGCCCCATGAATATTCGTTGAAAGGATGAATGGTATTCTCTTAATAGTTGAATTTTAGGCCATCTTAATTGTCCTCTGATTCTCTCAGATTACGTGCATCCCCTAATTTTTTTCTCCAATGAGCCTATCTTTGTGCAATTTAAAAACAAAGAGAAAATATTTTTGCAAAATTGTGATGTTTTCCCTGAACCTTGTGCTGAAATAAGCCAACCCTGTTCACAGACACTCAGTGGATACAAGGGCTCATTTCTTCCCCAGAGCAGAGGGTGGCACCGTGAAGGTCACAGCCCCAGCCAAAGCGTGTATCAACTTGGGGGTGGCGCTAAGACCCTCGCCCAGCAATCTGCTCTGACCCGCAGCTGTGCTCAATGAGCTAGTTTCCTCCTGGCCCTCAGAGCTTTTCCAACCTTTCCGAGCTCTGCCTTTTCCCTAGTCACCAGGCCCTAAAGGATTACCCTCCAGTGGAAGGGGCCATGGATTACTAAGGCATCTGAATTCACCTGCTCCCCAGGCTGGAGAAGCTGCTGCAGGCCAGGGCCAGGCCCAGTGGGGTCTGAATCCCCAGTGAGTTTGCTCTGGACCTGACATTTGTCAGAGCAAAAGCTCAGAGAACTTCGCTGCTCACCTAGCAGGGATCTCAGAGTCCCTGCTCTTTGCGGCTGGCCGGCAGACCCCAGCTGAGCAGCTACTCCCCAGCATGAGACAGTTCGTGGCCAGAATATGAGTTTCCTGGTGCTGCACTTGTCTGGCGGACACTTCCTCCCCTCCTCCCATGACGAGAGCGCGCCAGCCCTTTGTCCTGGGTGCCTCGGCCACCGAGCGCGGCCACTCAGCCGCTTGCTCCTTATCGACAAAATGCATTGACACCAAATGCCTGGAACTCTTCAGCAGGTCCCCCGGGGACACGTGGCCGACAGACGTCTGAGTCTTTCCAAGTCAGATCAGAGCCACACACTCACAGACTATGACTCCTTCAACATGCGTTGTATTTGGAAAACGTTCAAATCCACAGGGAAGTTGAAATGATGTTAACAATGAACACAAATGGCCCTTCAGCCAGATTTACCAAGGGCTGACTCTGAGTCACATTTGGTGTGTGTGTGTGTGTGTGTGTGTGTGTGTATTTTGCGGGAGGGACCATTTCTAGCCACGCTGCAGACGTGACATGCCACCCCTGGACAGCATCCACGCCTGACGTCATTTTCCTACATAATCATAACGCTATTACCAACCCTACAAATGTCAGCATTAACGCAGTAACATTTTCTTTCCTTTCTTTTTTGTTTTTGTTTTTTTTTTGAAGTAGGCCCCACACCCAACAGGGAGCTGAAACGCACCATCCTCAACCTAGAGTTGCAGGCTCACTGCCTGAGCCAGCCAGGCGCCTCTGCAATCGCATTTTCTCATATTCGATCCACATCTGACTTTCCCCCAACAGTCCCCAAAATGCCTTTTGTAACTTGTGTTTTTCTGGATCCAGATTCGACAAGGTTCACACACGGTGCCTGTTCCATCTCTTTAGTTCCATCCTTTGCTTTTCATGACACTGACTCTGGATGAATCTGCACCCATTTTCTTCTCAAATGTCCATGTTCTGGGGGCGCCTGCGGGCTCAGTGGCGGAGCACGCAAGTCTTGACCCCAGGGTTGAGTTCAAGCTCCACGTCGGGCCTAGAGCTTACTTAAAAAAAAAAAAAAGAAAGAAAAATTACGCCCCATATTCTGGACTGTCTCCTCAGCATCCAA